GCTTGCGCGGCTGTATATATCGCCAATATATGTATATATTGTCGTGTGTATAGCCGCGGCGTCGCGAGAGCGAGAGAGAAAGAACGATAACGCAGCCATTTGCCAGCAACAGCGACGATTTTGCGTGTGGTACAAAGTACAACGTCGAAGGTGGACAGGTTCTCTTTCGCTCTTTCTCGCCTCCTGTTTGTTTTCTCTATCTCTTTCTCGTTAATTATCCGCCATCCTTTGATTTCTACGGTTGCAAACGACTGGCACAAAACGAATATAATAAAATAATATCATAAAATCCCGGACTCGGACGAGAAATACTTAAAAGAGATCGACTCCTGGTGCGTATATGGATTATACACGTAGTGTCTGTTTTCTCTCTCTCGCTCGCTCTCGCACGCCGACAACGACGTGCACGCGCGCGCGCGTACATGCAAGATGAGGATGCACAATACACTTGTACCAGTTACTACTACATCACGACGCAACGAAAATTTGTACAGTAGGTACGTACAAATGTATGCACGGATACAGGAGAACACGCACACGATACACCAAAACACACACTCTGTATGCTTATTTTTTAAAAATTTTATTCTTTTTTTTTTTTTTTTTTTTTTTTTTTGCTCGCGAAGCAACTTTGGCTGTCTTCTTTTCCTCCTCGGCAACGACGATGATTGGTGGCGCCAAAAAAACAACACACTTCTCCTGCGACACTTACACCGATACGTGTCTCGCTCAATACGCACTCGCAGATAGAAAAAATATGCCTCGAAGAAGATGAGGCTGGTGATTACGAACAAAGTTGCGCCAACAGGGTCCTCTCGAAGGGGCAACGGCGGGACGAGTCGACCTGTCAGCCGGCTTCCACGAAGCTTCGCTCTCCCTAGTAAATATAGGTACACTCACGCAGTAGGTAGAATAGGTAGGTAGTGTATAACCATACGCACGCAGCGCGCTCTCGTCCTCGTTCCTTACACACGTTACTCGATTATTTCCAATGCTCAATTTGCACTGTTTCATACAATAATTACACGGCTCGGGGGAGAGAAAAAAAAAAAAAAAAAAAAAAAGTATCTACAATTAATGATGGTGGTCGTAATGATGATCATGACGATGAAGGAAGGAAGGAAGCAACACACATACCTCGAGTAGGAGCGCAAGGTCCGTCGGTAGAATCAGCCTGGCTGCGCCCGAAGATGATGATCCTCGTTGTCGTCGCAATGGCACAGTATGTAGTTAATACCTCTACAGCACGGCAGTACGTAGGTAGTAGCGGACAGTCGGTCGGTTGGGATACGATCGTGGTTGGCTCTGGTCGGCTAGTGTATTCCGCAAGCGCACGGGCAGGCAGGCAGGCACAGCAGCAGCGCAACGGCTCGGCTTCGACTTGCCTGTACGTACACACGGGCGTATACCTATACTTTGGTACACGAGAGAGAAACGGGGGGGCATACGGCTACGGCAATATACCTACGGCTTGATGTTCGCTTTCTGTCTCTCTCTCTTTGCCTGGCAATGCTGTATGCTGCTGGGTTCTCTCTGCTGTGCTACATATAGGTATACAGGAACCACAGCACATTAGAGAGAAATGAGTCAGACGAGGACGGAGATCTCATCCGTGCTGAGCTGATGTGTGTGCTGTGAACCCGTTGTATATCTGTATGTACATAAACCATACCTACAGGTATACATACACGTTTTCGTGCATGCACGCGCACTGCTCGCTGTTGGATACGGTCGGAAGGGCGGTGAGAGGTGAGGGGAAGAGATAAAACGAGCGAGCGTCGACGAGGCGTTTTGGAGCGCGCGCCCCCCCACGCTACCACTTATATATTATGCCGTGCTGTGGCCCTTGCTCTGATGCATATTATGTAGGTATATACCTTTACTTAGCTGTCCTCCGATATTGCCGTATATTATGCATGTTATGTGCAGTACGTGTTTTATATATAACCGCACACAGAGCTTATATACGTGATGAATTTTTTTTTTTTTTTTTTTTCTGAGGTAATAATTGACCATTGTTTTTTTTATTGTTATTGCGAGTGGGTTATAAATGACGAAAAGTCGAAATATTTTCACGATATACCCGATCGTTCGTTTCAATTTTTTTTTTTTTTTTTTTTTTTTTTTACAAGCTACAGACGTATAGTGCGTAAAAGGCTGGGTTATTTCTCCCCGCATATGGAACCTTATCCAAGTTGGAGTGTGTGGCATTCTCGTGGGTGCGACAGAGAGAGAAAAGTGTAAGCGCGCCCAACAAAGTCTCGTTCTGCCATTGGCTCGTTTGAGATAAGCCGCAAAAAGCGGCCCAATGGCCGTGCAGGGATTGTTATAAGCTTCTTCAAGCTTCCCTACACACTTTAGCCCGGGTTGAAGTGTTTCGGTCTCGCTCGCGCTCGTTGAATCCGAATTCGCGCGAACTAACTGCGATGCAGCTTACGCGTTATAACATGGCCACGATGTATACTATCCGTGGCTCTCTCGAGAAAGCTTGCCGAAGTTAATACACGGCCTCGTACAACATGCCATGTGAGAATGTATGTATACATATATATATACATAAGGACGTGTGTTCTATCGATGCCTCTGTATTTTGCATGGGAAAAGGCGGGAAAAGCGCGATGCATGATTCGCGCTCTCGCAGAGAGACTTTCGGTATCTAATATACTTGTGTGCAGTGGGTAAGTATGTATATTCTTCCGATCGTTATTTGCCGTTTTATAATAATAGCGTGTGTCGTATGTATGTACACATACCATATGTATAAATGTATGTTCCTTCATACGTGGCCTCGTAATGAAATGCACACACACACACACACACACACACACACACAAGTGGCTTCGATCGGTGCAGAAGCAGCAGCAGCAGCAGGCCTGCGGTTCACGCGACCGTAATACTAATTGCGCGACGCGCAAATTTCTGTACCTACGCATAAGTATATGAAACCATGATGTACCCGCGAACGAATGCTCAATTTTACTCCAGAATACGAACAATGGCGCTGTTGCTCTGATGTCGAGGTTAATTGATAATTTTCATAACTTCAGAAGTTTCTTTGCTGAAAAAATACACAGTATAATCGCGTGTGACGGTATCTTTTTTTTTTTGTTTTTTTTTTTTTTTTTTTTATGAAAGAAAATTGTTTTTTATCCAATTCGCGAAAATTCAAAAATAATTTAACATAACTTCCAAGTTGAATGCCGACTTTTTTTAGAAACGACTTTGCTTAAGCAAAAATTTTTTTAAACAATACGTGGAAACTTTATTTGTTATCATGATGATTCAATTAGTCTCGGTTTTTTTGATAATAGTCTTCTAATAGTTAATAGCTGTAAAATAGTGCAGCTGTTATGCGATGCAATTAAAATTCATCACTTATTAATAACAGATATTCCACCAGTAAGTAAATGAGATAACGAAAACATTTTTTTTTCAATTGCGTGTGATATCGTTCACTTATCGTTATCGTAAGCGTTAATAATTGAGTGGTAGACTAAATTCTATTGATGGAAAGTTTGTAAACAACAAAATTAGTAAGAATGTCGTATTCGACTATGTAACATTTCATAATAGTACACACATTATGCTACACCTGCGCATGGTCCCTTCACGTTCATGAGTCGTGCAATGTATTACTTATCTTCACCACTTTTGTCAAAGTTGCTGTTAACTCGAACCATTTAAATATCAAGTTACAAACTCAAAAAAGAGCCAAACAGCAACAGTACTACCTATTGTGTATATAGCATAACATCGTCGCTAATTTTATCGCTCTATCGTGAAGTGCCGTACCTAACTATACTTCGCAGATCTGCAAATCTCCGACGAAGGTCTCTCTAGCGCGGGTCTTCACCGACACCATTTTTAGGAGAATATCTACATACGTTATGAGGTAAAACGGAAAGACAAGCTAATCCTGATGATGCCGCAGCTATCGGAGCTTTTTCCACTCACTTTCTACTCGCAAGTTAACATCGCCGTCTGATTTCGGAGCAAACACGAAGATTTTTTCTGTTTTTTTTTTTTTTTTTTTTTTTCGCGCCAGTGAACAACGACGCAGTTCCGTCGAGTTCTTTATCTCTTCGTTATATATATTTGTCACGTTCTCTCGTAGCTGCGACTTTGTGAGAAAAACGTGTGTGTTTTACCCATACAGGCACAGATATACAGCTTAAGTGTACTTAAAAGTATATACTTCATATACTTATCAAGAGTTCTAAGAGATAACATAAATATACACAATAAGTTGTAATTGTGACGCCGCAGTGCCCGCAGTGAATCATTTATCCGTTGTTCGTACACAGTAGTTCGTAACCAGTACAACTACACGTAGCTACACGCAGTGCAGCCAACTAGATGGGCATTGAAGAGTTATTTGCGAGGAGAGTTCAGCCATCAGATATCATGGACGTGTAAAGTAATCGCTCACGTGTCAGCGTTTCGGAGTCGACAACTAGTAAAATATACTTCAGGAGGACGGTGAATATACTTACGGGACGCATATGATGCGTATTATTTTACCTCGGGGTAAAAAAGACAACTCCATAGGTATGAGTGGTTGCAAGTATATCAACTATAGTATAATACATCTGCACTCAACGCTTGCCAGATCGACGAAAACATCATATTATAATATGACGAGTTCGATCGCCATCGTTACCATGGAGTTGTGCGCAAGTGCGAGCGGTGCGACAACAACCAGAGTTAAAAATAAAGAATTTACATTATTGACAAGTTGGCCGCCGACATCTCGAGCTCAACAACGAGCTGTTAAATTTCTTCGAATGTTATTTGACGTTACTTAATCTCCATCACGAGCACCTTCAATCGAAGAGACCGCGCAGTAAAGACCGACGTCGGCTGCTCTTGACTCTGTCACGCATGCGTGTCTTCTGTTGCGTGTTGTTGCTGTCAGCTGAGCAGCCCGTTCGCCGTCAAGTTGTCAGCAATTGGTGCCTCTCCTCGATCAACGCCTCGTCCTCGTCTGGCGCACGCTCTTGGCGTAGGTCGCCGTACTTAGGTGTGTAATATTTTCAGCTCTTCGAGAGCACACACAGCTTACTCACACGCCGCAACAACGAGTCAGTTACAAGCCGGATTATTGTACAGCAGTCGCGAGGGTGTTTATTGCTCTTTATTGAAAAGTTCGGGACGCCGGTTATTTGACGGGAGCTACGGCGAGCATCGTGAATCGTAACAAGCTGCGAAAGGACGAGTGCAATTTCGGAGCAGGCCGGCGTTGACGCATCTCTTCCTGGGGGACTCGACGTCACCGTTGAGGCCTGTTGGTTGAGGCCAAAGAAAAGGTCATCTGTGCAGGAGGATGCAGCATCAGCAGCCGCAACGCGTGAAGAAAAACCTGCAGTGACCAGCCGAACGTGACTCCCTTTCTATTAGAAGCGCAATAAAATTTTCGTGTGATTTTTACCCCTGTCCTGCGATGATGAACAACGGCTTCAGTACTGGTGAGGAGGACTCCAGAGGAGCAGCTGACCAGGTGTGCTGTCTCTTCGACGATGGCACGAGATGCACCAGATCAGCAGGCAACGCCAGCTATAGTAAAAGAATACAAAAAACCGTGACTGGGAGGCGGCTCAAGCTTAATCTCGACACCCAGGTATGTATTTGTATACGTCATCCACGTGCTTATACGGGCTTCTTTTTCTATGCCACATCACGAGTCACGAGGCTCTTTTACTACGATTGCATGCTTTTTCTCTCTCTTCCTTTTTCTTCATACTTTCGGTTGCTCGCTGTTTGGCCCGGGAAACCGTGTCGTGTGGGTCGCGGCTTTGTTCGTGACGTTCTTACGCGAGTCGCTGGACACACTTATTTTTCGTAACAGACTAATATTGCACCTCTCATGACAAAGACAATGTGTTTTCGTACGGATTTTGCACCTCATTGTGGTAAATACATATTATCATGATTTCCCCATTCATGTGAATAACGAATCATATTTGGTGATCAATGTGTGATTATCCGCTTGCCTGAGTGTGCGTGCGTGCGTGTGAGTAAAATCAGAAAGAAGGCACCAAGCAGTAGCACTAAGGCCACTCACGCCAGTGATGGCACACATGTCACTGATGTCATGTATACTTACGTATATTATGGTGTTTTCTTTTCGTTTAATACACGAGTTTCGCATTTTTTCTAACAGCTCAAAATTTTTCTCATAATCTTTAACATCGATTTTGAAAATAAATAAATATAATATAGTTGCTGAAAAAAAATTTCTGTTTTATTAATAAACATTATTTTTATAACTTTGATAAATAATGAAATTCATGGCTTACGTGAACGCGTAAACAGCTGCTCTTGCGTTACATCAGTAGGCTCTTTAACATTGAAAATTTTGTTTTCATTTTATTTAGGCAAGGCACATATACATCTGTGATTACCACAAGCAAGTAATCCAATGTGCTCGAACAAAGCAGCAAACGCAAAGGCGAACTAAGGAATCGGAGGAAGATTCTGGCGAAACAGATTCTACTGATATTCCTGAAGTTGATCTGTATCAATTGCAAGTCGGTACTTTAAGACGATATAAAAAACACTTTCGGATATCCACAAAGCCAGGCATAAACAAGGCTCAGTTGGCAGATGTCAGTATTTTTACAACCGTATTAATATGTACAATCATTTACCTCAATACCTTTTACAATTTTTTTTCATTTTATCTTTAGATCTTAATGAAGCACTTCAAACAAATCCAAGTTGTTGAAAAGGACACCTTGGGCCTCTTTTTCTATTCAGTCAAAACCAATCAAAACAAACTAGATCAAAGAAATGGCATGAGTAATGATACGACGTAGCCTAAGATTTAATTTGAAACATGACTGTGAATGTCGAATAATTTAGTGATATTTAAAAAAATTTATATTCGAATTTTTACATGTTGATAAGGTTAGATATCTTTAAGGATAATTGTAATTAAGAAGAGAAAAAAAATTATTATGTGTTTTAAATCTCTTAAAAAGATTAACCAACAATATTTTAATGAACTTTTGTTATATTTAATAAAAAAATACTGATTGTACAATTATTTCTAATAATGACAAATCAAGATAAATCTTGTTTTGATAAAACTGTTGTTTCTTCTTCTTCACTGTCTCCACTCAATTCTGTAAATCATAGCAATCGCATATAACTAATAGTTACTGTTAAAAAAAGTATACATGAAATTCCCGTTAACTCACCAACATCAGAAATAACTTTTTTACTTGACTCTTCTTTGATAAACTCAACATCGTCAGCATGATGTTCGAGTTCGTTATCTGAAGATTCATCGGAATCGTCGGAATGCCAAGTATTTCTACCTCCCTCACCAAAATTGTCTTTCTAAAACATATACAAAACATCAGTTAAAAATAATTTGACGTAATAAATACAAAGAAAAGAAAAGGAAAATTTCCAGCACCCTAGTTAGCAATTCAGCAGTTCCATCCCCTACTTTGATAATTTCATCGTTTTCACTTTCGTCATCTTCCATTAGGTCATCTGGAAAAAAAAAAATTTAACAGGGGAAAGCCGAACCAATTTTATTTAGCCATAAAAAAGAGAAATCTGCACCTTCTATTTTATTAAAAGCTCTCCATGTATTTAATCTTATTTTTATTCTATCACTCATCATAGCTGTAACTTTATCAGAAGCTATGCAATGAGCAAAAGTATTCATCACAGGAACTTCCTTCTTATATCTAAAAAAAAAATGTATTTGTTAAACTAAGTTTATTTTTGATGAAGGTCAAATTAATATTTACTTTGCTTCAACATCCTGTCTTACTAATTCTTTGATTTCTCGTATCAGTTCACTAGCATAATTTGCAGCAAAATTAGATACTGATGGTACAACATCAGCTACCAATGAAGTATACTCAATGTAGTCAAAATTTATACTGCAGACTTCTCGGTAAGCATTTAAGCTAAGAGTAAAAATAGCAGCTCCGACCCTCTCTTCCAGATAAGATGGATCAACAACAGTTTTCCCACTGAAAAAATCAAGTTTGTAATACAATAATAAGTAGACTCAAAACACCATACTTAACTCACCTTTCAAAAGTAATAAATGATATACACACAGGATGGTGATAAAGCATCAAAGGCAAAGGATCTTTTTCTGTGAAAGAATGGACTATAACTTCTTCACCAGTTGAAGTAACATCTGGCCTGTGAAAGTGCATAAGAGCTGCCAAAGCAGCAATAGATGCACAGTCAATTATATTTCCATCATGGTTTATAATGCTTATGTCGACTTTCACATTCCAAACCTTGAAAACAACAAATTTTTGAACAATAAATTAAAAAGACTGATATATATAGTGATTTTTAATAACATACTTTTTTTTCAGCAACTATACAAAGAGATTCAAAATCCAGACATTTGGATTCTTTCAGACATTTTTCCAACTGTCGGTTAATTATTGCTGAAGCTTCAGATTGCCGACCACTTTCAAAGTGTTGTGCAGCTATTGGATTTAGTTCAACGTTTATTTGTAACATACCTTCATTTGGTCGAGATACCTTTGGCTGCTGTACTTCACACGATACTTGAGCAGCGACTCTGTAGGAGTAAACATTTTAATTCGTTAGACTTGTGATCTTAAAAATTCTTCACTTGTTGAAGGGATTTTTATAAATGTACTTTGTTTGTCCAAGAGAGACCAAACAGCATCCCCAATTCACTCCAAAATTAATTTTAAGCAATCGTGGCTCCAGTAGTGTCCTTCCATCTAATCTCTGCGTTAAACATCACAAAATAATGCGTGAATAGTTGTACTTTAATTAAATTCATAGAAAGGTACATCACAACATTCTTACCGTGTCAGTTTGAATGGCTCTGTTTATGAAATTTCTTTCACAAATCGATACGTAACTTTCTTTCATTTTAAACTGATATTTAGTACGCACAAATGTATAACTAAACAATTGATTTTTTTTTTTTTTATTGAAATGAAAACTACCCCGAGGTTAGTTTCACACACTACACATGTGTTTTTTGAAATTGTTGGCTCTTCCCCCTCCGCTAATCCAAACAAACATCATCGGCGATCGGCAAAATACGACTATTAGTATATCTGTGGTGACATCTCTTGTGGAAAAAATCAACTTAAATGATCAAGAGATTCAAACAATTAACGCTACAAAGTTAACTAAAAACGGTAAAGTTGTTAAGTGTGACTGAGATAAAATTTTGAGACAAAAATATCCACAGTTAAAAAATATTATGGAAAAAAAAATTCCTCCAAAATGATGATGCAAGTAACTTGCAACAACCCCGGACAGTCAGAACAAACCTATACATTAATGTACAGTGCCAGCAGTGCCAGCACCGCTAGCAGCCGTCACATAAACACACACGTGCGTAGACTGACCAGTTCTATCAGCTTAAAGTATAACTAAACCGAAATTTTGTTTTTTTATTACTACTTAATCTAAATTATAACTCGGCGAAATGACGGATTTATTTAATTCCTCGAGTAATTTTGATGCGCCTGCCAAGGATTTGACGAACGAGGAGCTCAAGGAGTTTATTATGGTCGAACAGCAAAAAGCTCAGCTTAACGCTCGGGTAATTCTTGTTCGAGTTTTCTAACCTCTTGTCTACCGATTATTCAAATACTTTCCTGTATATTTATAGAAGTAATATTTAATTCATTGATATAGTCTTGGGTTGTGGTTTACAGGTACGTGAATTCAGTGATTTGTGCTGGGATAGGTGTATTGACAAGCCAAGCAATAAGCTGGACGGCAGGACAGAGACGTGCTTAAATAACTGTGTCAATAGGTTTATTGATGTCTCGCTCCTTATAACCAGTAGGTTTGCACAGATGATGCAAAAAAATGCGTAAGGTGATTAAATAGCGATGTCTCTTTCTCCAGCTGCATTTACCTGAAGGTTACGCATAAGGAAAAGCGGACTAGTCGAAATTGCGATCAGTATGTATATAATTCAGGGAGATTGATTACCTTTGCCATTAATCTAGTTCTTTGTATTAGTGAAGAAAATTGTTACCTTCAACACGCATTACGTCATTTTTGTGAATGTTACAATTACTTATGGATGATGTTCATACACAAACTAAACTTGACGTGTTAGTGTGAAGCATCCTTAGGAAAGGAGTGTTGCAAATAATTAATAAATTTACCAGTCATCTTATTGAAACTGCAAGGTATAAGAAAACAACTTAATTTCTAATTGAACGATTCATTAAAAAATTTGTCAATAAGAACGAGAGGTTTGTTGATTAACTCCAACTCGACGATTTTATTTCTTCACAGACCACATAAAAACAACCCGATTTAACACTCTTAGATTGACAAGGAAAAAATTTTTTTTTAATTTTAATAAAAATAATTTTATAACAAGATTAATGCATATCTCTGTTACTTTGAAATAAATCATTTATCATAGAATTACCAGTTGACAAAAAATGATTTCAACAATGTCATTCAAGATATCATTTCGCAATTTATTGTTTGTGATTTTTTTATCGATTGCTCTCTGATCGGTGCATAAGTATATTCCTGATATTAATCCAACACTTGAAAAAACATTTTTGGAGCAAAAGTTTGCAAATTGTCTGTTTATCCAGTAAACTCCAAAGTTCCACTTCCACACCACGATTCCGCCTAATGTTTAAACACATCTATATATCGATTTATTCTTAAACCTTAGCATGTTTTTGCTCCCACCCACACGAATTGCTAAAAATTTTCGAAAATAGTAAAGCCCAGTACCTAATAATTCTACCGCCGTAGAGTCCCGCGTGACAGTCGAATCGAGCCTATATCAGAAGCAATACCTAGTTATAAAACGAGAAAAAAAAATAGAAAAAAAATACAAGTATGCAACAGAGAGAGAGAAAAAGAGTTCGGCAACGCCGCAAAAAGGCAAAAGACGCTTTCGTGTATTTCGGAGTCGAGGGAGAGAGAGAGAGAGGGACTCTTCACATGCCTCGGCATATCGGCAACGCAGCTCAGTTGGCGTCACCTCTGCATGCTCTGTAAAACGAACGACAGCGAGGCGGGGCGGGGGGGGACGGGAAATAAAAAAAGTTTCCTGCCCCTGCAGAGCTGGCGTTCGTGTTCGTGGCATCGCTGTTATATAGGACAGGGCGCGGGGCGCAGGGCAAAACTGTGCAAGTGCGTTGGTTCGTTCGTTGTAGCGGGTATGAAGAAGACCGTACAGGCCTCGCCGTGAAGGAGCACTCGAGGGACTCGTCGTCTCGAAGATGCCGCTGTCCAGGAAGTCAAAAGAACGATGGAAACAGTAGTGAGAAAAAAAATAAGCATACGCGATCGTCATCGTCGTCATTAGGGCGTCCTTGTCTTTCCGTGGGTGCGCACGAGCGCCAATCAGCGCGGCGCTTTTTCGCTCTCGGACCAGTCGGGCTCTTCGACAGACGGGCTAAGCATCGTCGTTCGTCGTCGTCGTCTCTCGTCGTGCCAACATATAGGTACATAAATGTACAATCGGTCACCGCGTCCGCGGCGACCTCGGCACCAGGAGTCGGCATATCGTATCGTTACGTGTCCACCGAGGTAAACGCGAAGGGGTAACGACGACGTAGAAGACGGACGTCTCCGGGAGGCGGTCCGCGGGTGCGCGTTCGGTCACTGCGCACCCCCCATGACCCAGATATCGCGCGGACGGCAGCACGTAGGTGTATAGATGTATATCGCGTCGAGGGGGAGTTTGCTCGCCGTACGGAACAGCTGGTCCGGCTGCGCCAGTGAGCCGAGCGAGCGAGCGGGAAGATGTCGGCCGCGGGGAAACGCTCCGCCGAGTTGTTCGTCTGTCTTCGGCGCGCCGTGAGCTGCGCGCGCCTCTTGGCGGCTTCGTCGGCACAATTCCCAGGGCCGTGAGACGCATTCCCCTCCTTTGGTACCTACGTGCGCCCCCACGCTGTCACCCCTCCGTGCCTCTTGTCCTGTATTTACCTCTTATATACTTACAACCCGCGCTTCTTTTTCTCTCTCCTTTGGGTTTTCACTCCAAAAGCCTGCAACTTTATTTTTTTTTTTTTTTCTTCAAAGAGATCAAAATTTTTACTTTGTCCCTTCGACTTTTTTTTATTTCATTTTTTTTCATAGATCTATATGTTAAAGTGACATATGTAAACGTTGCGTTTTGATTTCATAATTTTTTTCTACCAACAATAAGGAATTTTTTTTTTTTTTTTTTTCGTTCTTTCCGACTCACTCGGTTCGTGCGTTCGAGTATTATTGAATGACCTTAATTTTTCGTTCGGTTTCGATTAATAAATAAGGATTTTTGTTAATTTGAGGAAAAAAAAAAATTAAATTAAATTAAAATAACGGCGAAGTCGACAATTAGTCAAACAGGAAGATACGATGCACAAGTGGATTTGTTTACCCAAAGTTTTCACAAGTCTGATAAACGTGTGCTGTATAGTTTAAAGCGAGCAAGCGTCTTACTGCTACCTGGGCGCAACTACTGTTAATCAGTTCTACAACGCTTTTTACTAAGAGAGACAGACAGTGAGAGAGAGAACAGCCTATCGATGAGTCGGTTTGTTTGTTCTTTTATTTTTAAGCTAAGCATACACGATAATTATTATAACTATTTATTACATTAATAAATTCTTTCTATTTTTTCATTTTACTCTACTTTTTTTTTTCTCTCATCAATCTCGTTTCTACTGGTTTTTCATGTACTTACGTGTTTTACTGACTTTCTAAAATTATTCTAGCATAAAAATACTTCATTTAGCTGTTAAGACTATTTTTTAACTACTGTACATAAAAAAAAAAAGTGTTAATAAATTGAAAGTTTTACATTTTTAAAAATGAATCGCTTTTATAATTAGTCAAACCTGCTTTTACACACACAACCCTCCGTTCACTATTCCATTTTCCATTATCATATGTTAAAATTTGTTTCTCTGGTAATTCATTAATATTCCTTAGAATTTCTATGCAGTTTTTAGAGTGTACAAATTACTTGTTTTATTTTTTATCGAAGTAGCAAGTATTGCTACTGTTGATTATTTTTATGTTTCACAAAATTGAGCACTATCGCGAAAATTTTCGGTTAATGTATTTCCTGAACATAATTGATTTCAATTAATACAGTATACTTAGAAGTAAAAAAAAAAGGTACATATATTATGTTGAACTCGGAAAACCTCTTGCAAACAGCTGCAAAATTCACATGTGATATTCAACGTAAACAAACGCTCTTTTTTTTATTTCAAAAAAATTTTTTTACCATAACGAAGAAACTAACCGAAGCAAAAAAAAAAAAAAAAAAACGGANAAAAAAAAAAAAAAAAACAAAAAAAAAAAAAAAAAAAAAAACGGATGGAAAAAGAAATCGAAATAAATAATAGATGGAGAGAGAGGTGGAGCAGGAGGAGCGAGTGCAAGCCCATATATATGTATATACCTTGCGGCAGAGGAAGTGGTGGAGAAGAGAGGAGAGCAGCAGTAGCAGTATATACTACTATAAGGAGAGATAAAGCGAGGAGAAAAAAAGAATGAAGCGAGTTATAGTCGCGAGGTATATAGAAGCTGATGCAGAGAGAGAGAGAAGAGAAACACCAGCAGAAGGTGTAACAGCGGCAGTAGCAGAAAAAGAAGAGGGAGAAAGAGCGACAGCAGCAGCAGCAGAGGGGCCGCCCCCTTCAGCCGGCATTTGGCTACGTCCCTGGGCGCTCCCCCACTACCAGCGGTTCGTTCGCATCCCGCTATACACGACCAGTCAGTTCCTTGTTTGCCATACAAAATCCAATAGTTTGCCTTGTGGGCCGCTCGCGAGTCCAACTATGAGTTTTGCGTCGGACTACATTTTATCGTCTACGTCGTCTACGTCGTCGTCGTCTTCGTCGTCGTCGTCGTCGTCGTTGTTGCCCTCGTCCTGGTTATTGTGCTGTTACAACTGTGAGTGTCGTGTCAATAAAATCATCACCAGCTCGATTTCGTGCTCAGCTGCTGCTGCATCGTCATCATCTGCATTATTCTCTTCTTCTGCTTTGTCGTGTTACCCAGTCTTCACCCAGATGAGATGCGAACAAGCAACTTCAACGAGGAGGCCCAGTCTTGTCGTGGAGTAGCAGCAGCTACACGTTCACATCATCGTGAGTGTCGTAGTTGAACAACAACGAGGAGATTGATCACGAGCTGACCCTAACACACATCGTGCTGATAATAAAAAAAAAAAAAAAAAAGAAAAGTTTCGCGAGAAGCCCCAGCAAAGAGACTTCTTTTTCTTCGTTTTATTTGTCGGGGTCCAGAGCCGAAGAGCTCTCCTTTTTCTCTCGTGTGTGACATTGTGTGTTTGCCCGCGTGCATGTGTGCTGTAACAGCAGATAGGAAGATAGAGACACGCTTTTGCGGCTAATAACTCAACTTTCTGCCAAAATTCGTTATCGTCCACGAGAAAAAGCAGCTGTAGTGCAAGTACAGAAGGTCGCCCAGCAAAGTAAATAAAGAGAGAGAAGGAGAGAGGTAGAGCAGCTGGGGGTGTGAAAGAGACTCGGAGGAGTAGGAAAGCGTTGTCGTGCTCGAGGAAAACTTGAACAAGAAGCAGAAGTTGCCAAGGAATTAAAGCAGGTAAGCCCCAAAGACCGAATGTAGTTAGTACGTATACATCGTATAGTACAACCCAGTTGTAAGCAGCAGTCCGGTGCTATTGCTGCTGCTGCTGGGCACGAGAGCGTGTGTCTCTCGCTCGCCGTATTTGTGCGTGTGTGCGTGTGTGCGCGCGTATAAAGGCAGTTCGAAAAAAATTCGCACAGCAGTATTATACTTTTAGCACAGCCCGTGGAGTTTTCCAAGTTAGGATTTCGATCATTTTCGCATATTTATTGTTATTTGTTTGAAATACGCAACACTTACGATTACCCAATGCTCCTCCTCTTTTTTTTTTTTTTTTTTTTTTATTAAATTTCCATAACTATTCAAAGCTTGAATTTTCTTATTTGGACCGGCCTTACGTACGTCAACATCGTCATAGTAGCAGCACACCAACAGCACCGAGTATTGTCGACAGGAAGAGAGAGAACGCACACGTATATTCATACATACATATAAATATCAAACTTACACATGACGCGCGTGCATCGACGACGAAAGAGTGAAGTGAACAGAACAGCAGCGCTCGGCTCACATACAAACGAACTAAAAAATCCTGTTGTCTCTGTCCCTCTTGCTTTTACACACACACACATATATACGTATGTTATATACTTGTTCACTCGACTTTGCTGATGTGTTGCTCTCATGGTGTTTTGCTCGAAACGCATTTTTGTTCACTCGAGAGCGGTAGCAAAAATAATAATGTTTTCTTCAGCTTTTTTTTTTTTTTTTTTTTCTTGCCTACAGCAAAACAAATTTTTACGAATTTTCAGTGTCGATATCAATTAGATGAAAGGTTGTAAATGCGAGACTAAATATTTATGGTAATATCGCAAGGTGTGGGTATACTTACAAAAGCAGGAGAGAAAAAAAAGAAATAAAAGTTTGGCCGTGTAGCGCGCGATGCACAACATAATATACCTATACGCTACTGCTTGGCTTGCCCGCGCGCAAGAGAGCCGCATGTGTTTTCTCTATATATATATATATATGCATACGAATGTATATCTCGTCGTGGTGCGGTGCGTGGAAGACGACGTCGACGACGAAGCAAGTATGAACGCGATCGCGAAGGGTAATGTGTTTGCCGATCTGCTGTCGCGAGAAAGAGAGAGAAGAAAGTGGCCCCTCGATGCTTGTGGCTAGGTGTATTGTATAGTATAGCAGCAGGCGGCGGGAGAATGAAAGAAAGAGGGAGAAATGTAAGGTTAAAAAAAACAAGGTTAACCGGAGCTGCCGATCTATTTGCACGATTGTTGAACTTAAACACCGCATTTTCGTCTTTCGGAGCAACAAGCGATCACCTCGTGACTTACGACGCAATCAAACAACAAAGGAAAAAACAAATCGGTCGTCTGCATGTAAATATTAAACAACGCGGCATATTAACGAGCGAGCTTTTTGAAAAAAAAAAAAAAAAAAAAAAAAAAAAAAAAAACTTTTTACGTACGTGTACACACGCTGAGACAGTAAAAAGTAATAAAAAGTAGGCCCTTGTTATTTCTCGTGTGATGTGTGTTTCTCCCTCTCTCTGTATTTTCAAAATTTTTTTTTTCCACTCCCACTCGTTTATGCGTCGTCTGCGTTGCTCTTGTAATAGTAGTATTGTCTACTGAGCTATTGCTTGAAGAAAGATGTGTACAAAAAGGTATTGGATTCATAAGGTGAGGTGGGAAGGATGTTTTCGGTTACTCTATGATACGAAAGCGACGATTTATTCAAACCACTCTGTTATCGCTTCGACGAGCAATCGTAGGCATGAAAAAGCACCTTAATGTTTTGCTCCAAAATCATGACTCCGGTATATGAACAAATATGAACCTATTGTAGATTTTTTTTTTCTGCTACCGGCTTTTGATTATCATACTTACCTGAAGATTTCGAAAAACTGAATTGATGGCTGCACTATATATAATGGCTACTGATCCACATGTATATATACCTATGTATTAACATCAGGGAGAGAGAAAGGACCGTAACCTCTTTTTCTCATCGTCTGCTTGCGGGAGAACCAAATATATACGTATATAGAACATGTACGCAAGATATGCACTTAATACCTACCGTGTGTACGTAAATCAGTCTTCACATGTATGTACATACACACCCGGGACACATCCACCCACGAGTGAATAGTTGGATGCTCGCCTTCCACTCTTGACGTATAAAATGTGCGCAAAATCCTCCGTGTGTTATGTATTTACGTGGAATATTGCGTAACGCGACAGACAGAGCGCGAACTGTGCTGCTGCGCGCAAAGCAAAGCGGTAGAACACCGAGTGTTGTATGTATGTATTGTTTCGGAGCAAAGCTAAGTAGTTTTATATATATAAAATACAGTATAGAGAGGGACAAAGATAACGCGCCGGACCCGCGGTTGTATGTAATATATATGTGAATCAGCCAACACGTACCAATACTTATACGTAAGAGAAAGATCAGTAGGGGAGGGAGAGAGAAGCACCGGGCGCGGGCGCGAGCAGTATACATATACACACACACACACACACACACTGCGGCCAGGCGCGAGTTTTGTTGCAGCTATAACACACATTTACACTAACATCGCGACTATATCACGCACGATACTCTTCTACGGAGCAGACCCTGTACTTAACTCGACTAACTTGAGTGTGTATATATATAGGTATATCCTTTTCTCTGTCCCTCGTTCGCGAAAAGAGAAAAATGCATTCCCGCATTGTATTAAGAGGAAGAGAGAAAGAAAGAGCAGCCGCAGAGAAACCCCTCTCTGCATGACCAGCGGACGCTTCCGACGTTCCTCACTTGTACACCTCTTTCTCCTCTCCAGACTGGTTTTTCCAATACACATATGACGCTCAGACCGCGCGCACAGCTGTGTGCGCCTTCTCCCTTATCATATCTCTTTTTCTCTCTCTCTCTCTCTCTCTCTTTTTGCGCCTCCACTTTGTAGACCTTTATCTCACGAGTTTTCTGCTCATTAACAACGTTTTCGTATAAGAATCGTTATAAGTAAAATATGATGCTTTAACAATTCGGAGCACACATACAGTACGTACAAACTGGAGTCATGAAAAAAAAAAAAATAAATAAATAAGTAAAGACAGAATTAACAAAGGACGAGTAAACTGTAAGTCGTACGAATAACCAAGTGCATGACTTAGTTTTCGAGCGCATAAAAACACGCAGGCTCGATAACAGCAGCAGAACGAGACGGTGATGTCCAGGCACTCTTTTTTCCCTTCCTTTTCCTCTGCATCGAGTAGCACCAGAGAAACAGCAGCTTTCTGTTCTTTTTTTTTTTTTTTTTTTTAATCTCTCCTTTCACGAATTTATAGTAAGTATTAAGTATAGACGTGTATAATATACCCTTACCGATCAGACTTCCTTTCTCTCTCTCTCTCTCTCTGCTTTTGCGATCGCCAGCACTTTCTCGTCTGCTTCGATTGTGAGCTTTGCTTGCTTTTATTTTTGGGAAAGAGGGCGCACCGCGCGGAGTACAGCCTACATCACCGGAGTATCCAGCTTTTTACGCGATCCTCTTTTAACCGTGAAAGAGGAGACTCGCGCTTTTTTTTTCATTTTCTAACCTGACTGTGTTCTTTTTTTACGGCTATCGTGCAATACATACAAAGATCGTAGCAATAAATGACGTATCTTACGTTTAAATGCAGCAGACTGCGATCCTATACTTGTATGGACATTATACTGCGCGCGCACAAGGCGTGGGTGCGCTGCTTCTTTGCTGAGCCAACAGTGCCAACACACAAATGTATATCTATATATACGTACTCGAACACATACCTACACATTTTCGTCTGTATAGCTTAGCCCCGCTTGGTTGAATTTACAGTGACGCTGCTGTCTTTCAGGTACCCTATACATGAACTGTAAAAATCTCCCCCTCCCTCCTCCCGCTCTGTATTAAGTACTTAATATAATCCGCGTACACTTTCCAATTTCTCGGGTTTTCCATTGTTTTTGTTGTTTCTTGTTCGATCACAGTGCGGGAAATATTTTAAGTACATTGTTTTCATAAAATTCCGCGGAGAAGTCACTACAGAGTGCGTCTGCTGCGCGAGTCTCGTCGCTGTCGTCACATCGCGCGCGGTCAAACGTTTGTTCGTGCGGTGTTTGGTGCAGCGCGTCCAACGATGTCCTTTTTGACAAAAAACACGCCCAAGAACAACCGAAAAATTGTGAAAGTTTTTACTCGGACGCGTGTTGCCAAAATATACACAAGTTAGCTATCGAGGCTAGGTCATTTCGGAGCTGTTGGATTTTTTCCGTGTTGCATCAGTAGAATATAAGGTTATATCTGTGATACCCCATAGAGCGAGGGAAGGAAAAACCACGCGTATTTTAAATTTTTGAATGAAAGCACGGTTACAACTGTGGTCGGAATGAAGTGCGTTTGTCCATTAACGAGATAAACTGTCAAAAGTGTTTACAACGAGCGATATAATCACGTGTTTGCAGCATTTCCAATGTGATTTGAGATGAAACGGGTTCGCGGGGTGGAAGACATATCTCCGCCAGTAACTGCAGCAGCACCGTTGAGGAACTCCAACAGCGCTGGAGGTGCTGTTGTGGGTGGAAGTGCCGGGGGCGGTGGTGGCGGGGCCGGCCCATCAGCTTGCGGAGGAAGCAGTGCCGGTAGCATCAGCGGTGTTGCAGGTGGCGGCAGCTCGTCGTCGTTGTCCATCGAGTATCGTTCGAGCACCAGCCCCAACATAGGGGTCGTAACTGGTGGTCAGCAGCCCGTCAGGACAGTTCCTCCTCCTGTTCCTGCCTCCCAAGAGATGCCGAGTAGCATTCAGTTCACCCAAACTCAGCAACAGTACCCTGGTACAATCGTGGTTCCAAGCGTGGCTCCGTCTCCAGTTAAAGTAAGCGTTTTTTTTTCTACTAATGATAGGTAAATCATGAAACTGTTGAATCCTTACATGTCATTGTTTTGTAGTCAAGCGGTCCCATTGGAAGCATATCTAGCTCATCATGTGCAACAAGCAGTATAGCTTCCAACGTGACGCTGCACAGTGCGAGTATTGGTGGTGCCGGGAATCACAGTACTGGTATTGGTGGATCAGGAGGAAACCACAGTGCTGTGCTCCAAACCTCTGTGCCCAGTTCCCAGGCACAAACCCATGTCCAAACTTCTACCATAAGACACAGGGTAAATATTTTTCCAAGTATCTTGTTTGTCATTATTGTTTTTTTCGTCTTTTCTCCAATGTATTACTTTAACAGACGACGGTACAAGCACCTACACCTCCTGTCGGCAATTTGAGTAACAGTGGACCTGGAGTTGGACCTGTCAGTGGTGTTGTTGGTGGTGGTGCAAGTGGTACAGTTGTAGGGATGGTGAGTGGAAGTCAAAGCGCAAGTGGGGTAACAAGTAGCGCTACAAATTCACAATTCCAGAGGTTAAAGGTCGAAGATGCTTTGTCATACCTTGATCAAGTCAAGTACAAATTCAACGACCAGCCCCAAGTTTACAATGATTTCCTCGATATTATGAAAGAATTCAAGTCCCAGAGTATAGATACACCAGGAGTGATATCTAGGGTCAGTCATTTATTTAAAGGCCATCCGGAACTTATTGTTGGATTTAACACGTTTTTACCTCCGGGATACAAAATTGAAGTACAAGCAAATGAACAGGGCTACGCCCTTCAAGTTAGCGTTAGTGTACCTAGCCCAACTGCGACGCATACAACAACTCTTTCTCAGCATCACTGTACAGTCAATGTTGGCTCTCCACCTGTACCTAATGCACCTACGCAATCTGCCAAGCCGCAACCTACTTTACAAATTATGCAAGGGTAAATAATACAATGATCAGTTTGTAACTTTGACTTTCCCGTCAATAGATCAGAAATTGAATATTTATCTTACTTTTAGCTCGGGAAGTATACATCACCCAATAACAAATAATATCGTAAATAATCATTTGACTGTTCACGGACCGGCGTCGCCACCTATTCCTTACAATAATTCCCACATTACTCAAGCTCAAGCTCAGGCAGTAAGTCAAGCTTTGAGTCAGGCACAAGATGGGATCCCTACTACGGGCCAGACGCAACAAAATCAACCTGTTGAATTCAATCACGCAATCAACTATGTCAATAAAATTAAAGTAAGTTAGTGACTTCCTGTGAGCTGGTGAAAAAATTTTGTGTGTGTGCGTGTGCGTGTGCGTGCGATCACGTATGTAAAATACCTTGCTTGTCATTTTTAGAACCGATTCCAAGATCAACCAGATAAGTACAAACGTTTCCTGGAAATATTACATACTTACCAGAAAGAACAGCGGACTCTAAAAGAATCTGGTCACATGGGTGGCAGTGGAAGTGGCGGCAGTATCCTTAGTAGTGGGAAACACCTCACTGAAGCCGAAGTTTACAGTCAAGTAGCAAAATTATTTGAAAACCAAGTTGATCTCCTCCAGGAATTTGGACAATTTCTACCTGATGCCACTAATCAGCAGAATGCCCTGGTAAGTAATCGCCTAATGATTTCTCTGGCATTTAAAATATTATCGTATCTCTGAAAAATCACAAAGATAAGTAAAAATAATTAAATTGTCGTTAATATCTTGAAAGTGCTATTTAACTTTGTCCCAGTATCTTGTAGTCTTAATTGCTTTTGTTTATCGTGATACGCTTCTATGCCGTTTGAAAATAATCTCAGTAGCCTGCCTAACCTGCACAGTCCATTACACATCATACTCAGCTGTTTAAATTGACTGTCCCTCAGATTATTTCTAACTTCGATGGGCTCCAGTCTGCTGTGTTTCAGACCAACAAAGTGGGTCCGGTAAACGATCACGCGACAATCGTGAAAAAACCGTTAGGTATAAAGACAACGTTTAACAATGCAAGTGTCGTACCACGTGATTCGCTTCGTGATGTACAAGGTCTGGGTGGCCTGGAGCGCGATGTCCGGGATCATCGTGAGCGCGAACGAGAACGTGAACGTGGTCCTACCGGAATCCGAAGTGAGCTCGCTGCTGCCGCTGCTCAAAAGTTCGCGCATAACGCGGGTCCACTGAAGAGAAGTCCGTCCTTTACCACGTCTATGTCCACAAGCAACTCTCATCCGCTACATGGACCGCACGGACCACCACCGCCAAAGAAGCACAAAGTGACCACTGTGAAAGATCTATCCGTTGCAGACGTGGGCAAACATGGAACGCTTAATGACTATGCTTTCTTCGACAAGGTATGCATTATCTTGTTCCCTCGGTTCTCAAAGAACGTTTTATCTTCTTTAGATTCTGTAGCGCAGCGCCGTGATCAATTAACATGTACATCCATATTAATTGTTATACATGATTATTGGGTATTGGGTACTTGAATTTAATTCGTCCATTCGCTCAGAGGTCGCGATTAAAACTGAAATCCTGTGCCGCTGAAGTAAAAGCTTGTCTCTCTGATACTTGAACTAAAAATAATGACAAAAATTTTTTTTGTCACTCATTAGGTACGCAAAGCATTGAAGTCATCCGAAGTATATGACAACTTCTTGCGTTGTTTGGTTCTCTTCAATCAAGAAATTATCTCCAAGACTGAGCTGGTGCAACTCACGACACCGTTTCTTGGTCGTTTCCCAGAACTATTTAGGTGGTTTAAAGAATTTCTTGGTCACATGCAGGAGTCGTCGATATCGCCGTCAACGACAGATACTAATCAAAACAATGCTGGGCCTGTAGCAAGTAGTATCAGTATCGAAGCATTACCCAATAATGTAGTTAGGAGTCATCAAGAGAGGCCGCAAGGTGATCTCGCGATGGAGATCGACTACACAACTTGCAAACGTCTCGGCGCCTCGTACTGCGCGTTACCGAAGACTTACACTCAACCAAAGTGCTCAGGAAGAACTCCGCTCTGTAGAGAAGTTCTCAATGACACCTGGGTCTCGTTCCCAACTTGGTCTGAAGATAGTACCTTTGTAACGTCTAGGTGAGTTTTTTTGCGTACTAATAAAAAGTTAACAATTTGTGCTTCCACGTTTTATGAGATGTCCATTGCTTTATTTTATTTGTGGTTATTTCAGAAAAACACAATTCGAAGAAATTATTTATCGCTGTGAAGATGAACGTTTTGAACTGGATGGTGTAATAGAAACGAACGCCGCGACGATTAGGGTGCTCGAAGGTGTACATAAAAAATTGAACAGGATGTCTTCAGAAGAGTTACAAAAGTTTAAGCTTGATGACTGTTTGGGTGGAAATTCTCCTACTATACATCAACGAGCATTAAGGAGGATATATGGCGACAAAGCGGCTGATATAATCGAAGGTCTGAAGAAAAACCCCGCTGTTGCGGTGTCCATCGTTCTGCGGAGGCTAAAGTGCAAGGAAGAAGAGTGGCGGGAAGCACAAAAGGGTTTTAACAAGGTCTGGAGAGAACAAAACGAAAAGTATTATCTCAAGTCACTGGACCATCAGGGTATTAATTTCAAACAGAGTGACGTTAAAGCCCTGCGGTCAAGGAGTATACTTAATGAAATCAAGGTGCTTTACGATGAGGTTCGTGTACCTTCAATTATACTATGACCAATTGTGTATTCTTTTCGACTTAATCAAAAATTTAATATCTTTTAAACAGAGACGCGAACAGTCTGATGAAAATGGCGATAATCAAAATAGTGGTCCACATTTGATTCTACCATACAAAGATAAATCTGTCTTGGATGATGCTGCCAATCTTCTGATACATCACGTTAAACGCCAAACAGCCATTCACAAGGAAGATAAGCAAAGGATAAAAACCTTGCTGAAACACTTTATTCCCGATTTGTTCTTCCATCCACGACAAGAGCTCAGTGATGATGAACAAGACGAAGATAGTAAGTATAAATTCATTAATACAGTATACATAAATAAAATAAATGTAAATCTTTGAGTAGTGATACGATGTTATTTTTGTAATTTAAAAAAAAGGTGAAAACGTAAATCCAGCGCTGTGCAGTAACGCTCAATCCACAACGACAACGTCGATAAGTGGTTTACAAGGCAACAGAAGTAAAGTTACAGGATCGCCTACATCGTCTTCCGTGACGATAAAGTCTGATCCAGATGTTAAACCACCACCACACGCCTTGTCGACTGACCCCGAAGAGGCTTATTCGTTGTTGATGGGAAGCTATTATTGGTATCTCTTTTTAAGGCTGCATCAGATTCTCTGTGAGAGACTGACCAAGATGTATGAAAGAGCGACAGTGCTCGCGGAAGAAGAATCTCAGTATAAACAGCAACGGATAGAAAGCACAGCTGCAGCTCTAAGGTTGAAACCTAAATGTAAGTTATTTAATTTAAATTAAATTTATAAGATACCTCGTTCTGAGCTCAGCGTTAAACGTTTGTGCATCTATATTTTTTACTTGATAGGTGACATAGAAGTAGAAGAATACTATTCAGCTTTCCTAGACATGGTCAAAAACGTATTGGATGGCAATATGGAGAGTAATGTTTATGAGGATACCCTACGAGAAATGTTTGGAATTCATGCATACATTTCTTTTACACTGGACAAAGTTGTAACCTGCGCTGTGAGACAGGTAATTAATCATTACAATGATAAAATTTAGCCTTTTTCTGATAAATCGATGTCCAAGATGTTAACGAGTAATGAATATTTTCAGCTCCAACATTTAGTGTCAGACAGCGTGTGTCTGCAATGCATGGAGATGTTTCAGCGAGAACAGAAGCAACCAAAAGAAAGTTGCGGGGCTGGTGGCTTGTGTTCAACGGCGTACTTGAGGGCTGCTTACGAGGCAGCGTATCTAAGAAAAGCCGAAAAACTAATGGCCGAGGAAAATTGTTTCAAGATATATATAGTAAGTATTCAATATTAATGACCCAAGCTCCCAACGATATTTAGGAACCTGTTGTTTATCAAAACTATTTTGTTTTTTTTGTTTCAGTACAAGAAAGATTGTAAGATGACGATAGAGCTGTTGAACTCTGAAAGCGAGGAGACCGCTGAGGGTAATTGTAGGGATCGCGACAGGGATTCAGTGACGACGACAGAAAAGTGGTCGTCCTATGTCGAGAGATACTCGTCATCTGTGCCAGATCAGCAAAGCCCCAAAGACATCCCGACCTCATCCGACAATGAGCCACCAGCCAATCATCCTGTGAGTAGTGACCAGGTGGCAAGGGGGGGCAGGGGCAGAAAGCGCAAGAACACTGACATTAACAAGAAGGTATAGGAACCACATCCCTTTCAATTGCCAACGTTGTAGATTGCGTTCTCGCGTGGTAAACTTATGTACTTTAATGCCTAAAATAATGCGGTACGCAAACAAAAAAAATATATATAATAAGACACGCACTTTTGTGATTTTCTCGTCGACGGCTGTTTGCTTCATCGACAGGCAGTTTACGCCCGAGACTACGTCAAAAGTTGATAAACATACTTCATACATCGTATAAATATGTATAAATATAAAAACAATTGTCTTCTGAGGATATAATCGAAATAGACATTCGTTCCAAGTTCTCTTTTTTTTAAGAGCCTTCAAATATTTCGCGTATCTTCAGAAGAACGTGACAATGGGCTAGTGATTGTAAATTTTTGTCCATGGGTTAGCAATAATCATTACAGTTGGTCCAGTTTATAAATGAACTATCGAAAACTGGATTAACTTTAATTTATTGGTTCTACGATCTTATTTACGAGTCAGTGAAGTTTAGTTAAAATTTTTTTTTTGTAGGTTCGCAAATTTATATATTTGAGTTTTCCATTAAAATAATGCCTTATAGAGATTGATTACACTTGGTGTAAATTTTTGTTTTTAAAGTATAAATATATTTATTATTGTATAGCTTGATGCTATTTTATATATTTGCAGTATTCTCAAACATCAACATATATATATATAAATCCTGTTCCAAGGTATTATACCAATGTAGTTTTTCTTGTGAGACAACGTCGACTGTCAGTGCTTGCATTTCANGATACTGTTAAGTTTTTAATTTGTTAGAAAAAAAAACTAATAAAATTACAAAATTAGGTCAAAGGTCTAAATTTATTTAAGCACCTTTTTTCGAATTCCCAAGAACTTTAGTTTGCAAAAAAAATTCATTGATAATTTGATAATCAAGAACTCAATTACAATTTTTGCCTTAAGTTTCATTTATTTTAATGTAAGAAAAAAAGTTTATTCTATCAATTAAACAATACATTTGCTTGTATATTGTAACTATATAAGCTCAACAGTTTTTTAAAATGTTTTCATTTTGCCAGTATTCATGTGTATAGTTATTAAAAAGAAAAAATAATTGATTGTACTTAGCTTGCAAGCGTGGGTTTTTATTCAAAATTGCGAATATTTACAATTATTTATCATGTTAATTATCAATTATTAATTATTTAATACGAATGTCGATCGATTTTATCCTGTTTTTCTTAGCAGTTACCTTATTATTTTATTATGATGTATCTGTAGAGCAGAACGAAATTCGAAGAAGTCAACACGAACAAGAGACTTCGACCGCGACTTTTTGTTTATGAAGACCGAGAAACTGCCTTCGCCTTTCCAGTCACGTCTTTTCCACAGCCTTCCAAAGAATGACCCTGCGATATCCTCATGATCCGCTTCCTCCTGCCCTTATTGGTAACTAACTTGATTGCGCCTTACATCGTTTACGTATAATTTTAATTTTATGTTGAAAATTGTCACCATGTCATTTCCTCACATTTGACGAGCGTGAGCTATCAGAACAGCCGTGTGACGTTATTATTATTTTTTACTCTAGTGCGTGTTTTAAATACTTTTGTACATGATTTATTATTATTTTTATTTTATTTATTTTTTTGTTTTTTAATATTTTTATTCGAACAAGACATATTGCCTTGTTGGTTGTAAAATGAATCAAGTGACAAAAAAAATTGATAACTGTTTTAGATCGATGGAAATGGATGGGGCTCGATGGAAAAAGCTCTAGCGGGTCGCAAACGGCTTTATCTTTACCGCAATTCCAGGCATTATAAAAAACTTGCCGCGCTTAAAAGCTCAAAGGAATCAGCTGGAGCTGCGAATTCTGAAAAAATGACTGAGTAAGCATATCACGATATCTTATTGAAATTTTTTTTTTTTACTCTCAAATTTGTATATACTTCATGATAATGCGTATTCGACAAAAAAAAAAAAAAAAAAAAAGAAAAGTGCAAAATATTAAATATTCATATTAACGTCCAGTTAAAAAAAATCGACAAAATTTTACATAAAATTCATATAATTGTTGGTCCTCCATGCGTTATTAAAAATTCGAAAATGGTTGAAATTTCCAAAAACTACACTGATTTTTCGAAATATCTCAAGTCTTACTCTTTATACATTGACAAAATCTCCCCTTTGATTTCCAACGGAGAAGATAAATAATCTTGACAATGATTCTTTGACCACCAAAGTTGAAGCGTGTTGATTAAGTGTTTCTTTTCGCCATGGATAAAATAAGATCTGTTTTTTCCTTTTTTTAATGTTGCATTACGAAATATCATAAAAACCAACAGGAAAATTCGTTCAACCATGAATTTGAAAACATAGACGAAAAATTGGTTTTTAAACAATTGATAATATAAAATTCGTATTTCTTTTAAAGTCTTGCAAATTAAACGGAAAAAATAACAAATCGTCTGTAAATAGTTACTTTCATTAGGGACTGATACATGAAAAAGTGCGCTTTCTCGACAATGATTTTCAGGAACCTGCTATGTTAGACCAAGAAAAACGTAGCTAACAGAAGGTCCCTCAGAATCTGAGAAATTGAAAAGAAAATTTAATTACGGTTTTCCTCGCGGCATTTGTGATATATACGTATTGGTAATTGATAAGCATTAAAATTCGTAAAGCGGAAGGGAAGATTAATTTGGTCCGTGTAAAAGATGAACATAATCATTATAATTATGAGATGAGAGAAACAATGAAAAAACTATGTTTAATTTGTAAATGTTGAACTATTTTGCATCTGCACTAACGCCATCCTCTTTACCCTGACTATCGAACTAATTCACTTTTTCAGAAAAAATTCCTTCTTTTAAAGAAAAATATCGGTGAATTTCAGTCTTGAACTACATTATAGATGAATATATATGATAAATATAAATATATTCTTTAATGCCTAAAATAATGCGGTACGCAAACAAAAAAAATATATATAATAAGACACGCACTTTTGTGATTTTCTCGTCGACGGCTGTTTGCTTCATCGACAGGCAGTTTACGCCCGAGACTACGTCAAAAGTTGATAAACATACTTCATACATCGTATAAATATGTATAAATATAAAAACAATTGTCTTCTGAGGATATAATCGAAATAGACATTCGTTCCAAGTTCTCTTTTTTTTAAGAGCCTTCAAATATTTCGCGTATCTTCAGAAGAACGTGACAATGGGCTAGTGATTGTAAATTTTTGTCCATGGGTTAGCAATAATCATTACAGTTGGTCCAGTTTATAAATGAACTATCGAAAACTGGATTAACTTTAATTTATTGGTTCTACGATCTTATTTACGAGTCAGTGAAGTTTAGTTAAAATTTTTTTTTTGTAGGTTCGCAAATTTATATATTTGAGTTTTCCATTAAAATAATGCCTTATAGAGATTGATTACACTTGGTGTAAATTTTTGTTTTTAAAGTATAAATATATTTATTATTGTATAGCTTGATGCTATTTTATATATTTGCAGTATTCTCAAACATCAACATATATATATATAAATCCTGTTCCAAGGTATTATAC